AGTTTGAATGAAAGGCCAGTTTGACATGAAAGTATGAATGGGCCAAAGGCCAGTTTGACATGAATGACAGTATGAATGGGCCAAAGGCCAGTTTGACGTGATTGAAAGTATGGATGGGCCAAAGGCCAGTTTGTGGTAGCAGGTGGGTGGTGAGTGGTGGTGGGGGGTGGGTGGGGGGGGGTGGGGGGGGGTGGTGGTGGAGGGTGGGTGGTGGTAGCGAAAGACGATGGTGGAAAATGATGGCGGGGGGTGGTGGAAAAAAAAAAAACTGAAAACTCAAAACGGAAACACATTTTTTGAGTTTACATTTTTTGGCCAAATTTATAAATTGAGACCACTGATTTATAAATCAAAAATTTACCAAACAAGCTTTTATTTGAGTTTTTTAAATTTTTATAAATATAAACTGAAAACGTAAGTGTTACCAAACGGCACCTAAATATTTCTTGTGACATTTTTTTTCAAAATCGATTCTTTATACCCATATTAACCTTTATTTTAATGCTATCAAAGGAGGGAAAAGAAATATATAAATTTTTTTTTTGACAAAGAATATGTTAATAAAGGGGAAGAAAATATAATGACAAAGAATTTGTTAATAAAGGTGGAGAAAATATATTGAAAATAAATGCATGTATGATGATGTTGAACATTTTTTTGTTGTATTTATTCATATAAAATTTTGTGTCAAATTCATGCATGTATTGCCATCATCAAAAAAGGAAAAATTGTTAATAATGTTGCTTGATTTTGATGATGTCTAACATACATTAGATTTGTCATGATTTTTAGTATACATATTTTACATTATTTCACACAAAATATTATCTGTTTAAAATATATGTTGTAAGATGTATTTGTGTTAAATATTATTTAAATTGAAGTTACTATGCTATATCTGATCTTATGTAAATATTTTGAAATTTTCACTCTTCACGTTTTGAAAAATCCGGCTGATCACTATTCATCTTTTGACAAATTTGATATTGATTGATTGTTATCTTTTGACAAATTTGATATACCCACGTGGGGTAGTGAGTTATTTCTTATTAGAGTGTATTTTAAATCTCAACAACAACTATAAAAATTTTAAAAGGGATATATATTTTCATACTTATTATAAATGTTATTTTAAAGAGATTTTACTATGCATATAAATATTTTAATAAAGATTTTACTATGTATTCAAATATTTTAATAAAAAAGTTACTATTTAGTTACTGTGCCCTCTTGTTTTTCATGAGAAATGTTTGAAAAAATTGTATTACTATTTACTGAAAGTGACGTTGGCCAACTGTTTCAAAGCTGGCGTGTTTTCCGCGTAAATTCAAGTTGCAATCTGAAGCGTCACCAAGTCAAAAAGATGAGCACGCCTACGTGATCCGTGGTGTCAGAAGAGGAGTGTCTCTTCTCCCAACGGTAGATTTTGTGCTATAAAATGGGTATTTTGCTTGGAGAAAAATACAATAAGTGTTGAAGAGAAAATTCTGTGATATTGAAGTGTCCCCAAACATTGTGTTGTGTGCTTTCAGTGATAAATTATTTCTATTGAGAGAAAATCTGTTGAGATTTTGAGCTTTTATTGTAAAATGGTCTTATATCCCTTATTCTTATTCTTGTAAAAAGAGTAATAAAATCACTTAGTTGGAGTGATTGGAGTTGACCACTTGTTGTAAAAGTTTACTCGCACTCGTGAAGCTAGTGGCGCTATTAGTATATGAAGAATGGTAGAGAACTCTCAAGGAGGAACTTGCGGAGTAGACGTAGGCCTAGTTGTGCCGAACTACTATATATTGTTTCGTATATTTATTTATGTATTTATTTATCTGGGTTAAATTTTTAATTTAATAATTTATTTAGAAACTCAATTCACCCCTTCTTGAATTGCCTTCTAAGTTAAAAATACAATTTTAAAATTACATAATAATAGGTCTATGGTGAGATCGTTGATGCAATGATTGTTTTTTCGAAGAGGGTGGAGTTGCGATGTTAGGTTTTTAGGAGGGGGTTAGGTTTTTACGGGTTTGCTAATTGTAAAGGTGTGAATCTATGTGGGTGTGTAATATTTTGTAGGAATGATAGTTCTATTATTACGTGAGGTTCTAGAAATTTTTCCAATTTTAAATTTTGTAATGGGTTGAAAGAAAAAGGAGTCCTAAGTAATAAATTAGGGGTTATTAGCAACACTTTTAATATAATGATTAAAATATTTTTTTTCCCTTCTAGTTTTATCTAATGAAAACAGACAAATAATTTAAATTTAAATTTCAAACTTTATTTTTTTTAAATTAATTTTTTGAATATTGTTTCATACCATTTGTGGTAAAAATGCAAAGCTAGATCCAGTCAATAAAACAGAGCCAGGCCTAGAACTAATTAGGCTCAAGGAGTATAAACTCAGAAAAAGTAATGGTTCAGGCCAATGATGTCTAAAAAGCAAAGATATCATTCTAGAAGGATATCCTCAAAAATGACAAAGACCATTGGATCAACACTCATCCAACGGACAATGAGAACAATAGGTGGGCTATGGCCTAGTGTCACGGATTGATAAATTTGGATGCTGCCCCTCACAAGAAAGCACTAGCAAGCCATGGAGATTGCTAGAAGCTTCCAGAACTCCTTAGAGAATGGCTACAAGAGGAGAGGCTAAAATAGCATACTCTAGAATTCTCTAGAACAATCAAGAGCATGGTAGATAATTGTACATAAGACTAGAAGCTTGTACATACTTCTTGTATATTCTAGAATAGGTTCTTTGAAAGAACGAGGGAAGGCTCTAGAATCATCTCCATCCATATAGATCTAAAATACTTCTAGAATAGTCTATTAGATGTAGTAGGAGGAAGTGTCTAAAACACTCTCCATATTTTTAGTTCTAGAATGTTTATTGTAGCCTATAAAAGGGGGAGGGTCTCGTTTGCCCAAACCACCCAAGTAACGAAGAATTGTAAAGCTTTCTCTCAAAGTGAATACAAGGCATTCTCATTATAGTTATACAACAACAGGGAATACCGGGATCGCTATATGTGTGAGTTAGACTGACTTAATATCATCAAGTGAGACTTGAGATTGTCTATGTGCCGCACAGATAGCTTGGAAACAACCAAGTCCGTGACACTAGACTAGCACTAGCAAGGGAATGCAGTCCGATCATCTGTAATCCATCGATTAGTGTGTAATACAACTTGACTATTATGACCTAACATTATCTAAGTCTTGTTTGTCATAACTTAAAAAAGTCAAAAAGTTAAAAAATCACTATTCTATTTACGTCACATTATCTTATTTAAATCATATCACCTCTCTATCACATCACTTCAAACCAAACTCATACCCAATTCATATTTCATAAAAAGTCCTTGTTTGGTTTGTGTTTCTCAAAAAATTTTGAGAAAAATTCTCTACAAATAAGTTTTTAAAAGTAATCAAACTAACAAATTTTCCCAAAATTTTTTTCCAAAACTTGTTTGGTTTACAAATTTTTCAAACAAAACTCTCTCTCATACACATCAAATCAATCACTTTTTCCAAAACTCTCTCTTAAAATAATTTTTCAAAACATCTTTTAAAAAAAATCAAACCAAACAAATTTTCACACTTTTTATCTCAAAACATATTTTTCAAATACAAATCAAACAAGACTGTACTTATTTAGATCATTCCAAACCACTACTAGATTGTTCGATAAGCAAGGATCTAACAACTTATGATGAAAGTGACTCTTGACGAAATGAGGACCATCCGATGAAAGAAACGATCACGATAAGGACCAATCAATATATAAAGGAGGTGTTTGTTTCAACTTTTCAGAACCAACTTATGGCTTTTAGCTTTGAAAAAGTTATTTTGGACTGTTTGGTTAAACTTATTTCAAACAGCTTCTGATTCTAACAGCTTATTATAACTCAAAAAAGCTGATTCTAAGAAGCTGCTCACCCCTTGCTTCTGATTATCAGCTTCTGCTGTTGACATGTTAATTTATGGTTATACTCTTAAATTTTTTATTTTTTATTTTTTTAAAAATATAAAAAGACTCAAATGGATTATAGATTATTATTATTATTTTTTATGAGAAATATAGACAAACAAAAAATAAAAATTAATTGAAAAAGCTATTTCACAGTTTATTTAACAAACACTACTCAGCAACTTAAATCTATAATCCAACAGTTACACCAAATAAATTAATAACTTCTAATTAAAGTTATAATATATAATCTGTTAAGTTATAATTTATAAACTGTTTAAACAGCTATACCAAATGGACCCAAATAAAGTAGCTTAATGGCGCACCGACGTCTAAGGCAGCACCCAACGTGGCTGACTCACCCACGCACTATTCGTTGGCAAAGCATTTGACAGTCTTCTTGTTTCTTTATTCAGCCACAGTTACTTTCTTACCCTGGGGAAATACTGTAAATTTAATAAATGGGTAACGTTAAGGGTTTTTACCATAAGTTAACGTTAAGGGTTTTTACCATAAGTTTGACATAATTTCTTACCCTGGGGAAATACTGTAAATTTAAAAAATGGGTAATAAGTTGGACATAATTTAATATGGTAAGAGTTTTAATAAAAACGAAAAATATGTATAATCAAACATTATATCAACTATAATAAATGATTCTTGAATTATAATAAAAATAATTTTATAATTAATATTAATCATAATTAATAATATAATAGATCATAAAAATAAAAAATGTTATTCACCCAAAAAAAAAAATGTTATTATAGATACTCTTTGAAAAGGAGGTATCATATGTATTTTTAATTATGTCATTTTTTTTAATTATGATTATTTTTCTTTTTTAATTATAACAATATTTTAGTTATGACATATTTGATTATATCACATGTAATGTTTAATTATGATTTCTTTTTTTTTTTTTCTTTCAATTATGACTCAAAAAAATAAATTTTTTTAATTTTTTTTATAGTAGTCAAAGTGGAGCTGAAAAAATAAAAAATAAAAAATAAAAAAAATACAAAGATTATAAATAAGGATGAAGGATGCATATGATAGAAAGGTCCCCTCCAAAAATCTGGAGCATAGCATTTCGGTTTTATTATTGTATTTTGTACGGGTGTTCGCGGTTCGGATTTGGACGGTTTGCAGATTAGTTTAGACTTGCTCGCATTTATGCGGTTTGGGGAAAAGATAACCCGCAACCGCTCGCAGTGCGGTTTGCGATTTGTGCGGATAGGGTTTGCGGATGTGCGGGCGGTTTGCGAATTGAACTTTTTTTCTTCAAAAATTTATTTGAGCCTTATTTTTTTCTTATTTTGTAAATATTTATTTTGAGTCATTTTCTCCCTATTTTCTAAAATGCTCAAACATTAATAATTAATGAATTAAAATTTATAAAATTAAAAATACAACAAATCCAATTCGTAACACAAACAAATCATTCAAAATCTTAAATCAAATCATAAACTAACCCAAGCATATATTTCAAAATCTTAAACTATAACTTCATATTCATTAAGGAATTTAAAATTTCAAATCACACTTCATTCGGGATAAATTCAGTTATGTAATAATAATAATATGATTAGTATTTATTCAGTTTCAGTTAATATAATACTATTACCAAATGCAATGTCAGAGAAGTTCAAAAAATAAAAAGTATTTTGTTTTGGACAAAAATATCTAGGTGGGGATATATAAATGTAATCAATAGTTAAAATAAAACAATAATAATAAAAAATAAATAAATAAAGTGCAAGCGATTTCTTACGAGTGCAGGTTAAACCCACAATTTATAAAAATGTCATATTTCAAATCGTATCCACCCACATTATATTTGTAAAACCGCCCATTTATATACAAATTAAACGAGTTTGACGAATTTTGCAAATGCCCACCCCTAAAATATTTTGTAGCGGCGACTTCTTGTGAACTGACAACGCTACTTCTCCCCAGCACCCCACTCTAAACAGAAATCGCGTTCAATGATATCATCAACGGTGGTGGCCAAGTGTCTGCAGCTGCAGCAGCAGCAACGCCCGTGCTTCTTCTGTTCCCGCCAAAACATCTGCACAACAGTCTCCGCGACGGCCATCAGTTTCAGTTCAAAACCCCAATATTCATCATCATCATTCTCGCATATCAAACAAGAAGATCATCATCAATCCCCCCTCTTCTCTCCTCTCATTTTACCCACAATACACCCCAATTCGATTCGTTCCACCCTAACTGTTAAATCATCGCATTTTAATCTCCCTCTCATTTCTCCCCATGATCAATGGGGCACCTGGACTGCTCTCTTCTCCGTCGGCGCTTTTGGTATCTGGTACACTACACTTGTATACTCACTCCATTTCAATCTCTGTATTTATTCATCAACAAACAATATATAATTAGGACTTGATTTTGTCTTTTGTGTTTCTTTTTGATTGATTGCTTCTGTTCTGTGACTGTTTTGTTGAGGAAGGTCAGAGAAGACAAAGATTGGGAGTACATTGAGTGGTGCGTTGGTTAGCACTTTGGTTGGACTTGCAGCGAGTAATTTGGGGATCATATCGAGTGAAGCCCCGGCATATGCTATTGTATTGGAGTTCCTGCTCCCAATGGCTGTTCCATTGCTGTTGTTTCGAGCCGACTTGCGTCGAGTCATAAAGTCCACTGGGACGCTGCTCTTGGCCTTCTTGCTTGGATCAGGTACTACCTTCTTCTTTCTTAACATTGCAATTTTAGGTTTTGTGCTCTCATATTTGTTTCTAAATGCATTATTTATTTATTTATTGTACAATTGCTAATTTGGTTTGCCTCTCTAAAATCTTATTTTTCACTTGATTGTGTTTTTTGATCACTCTTGAGCAATGACTTTCCTTTTGAATGCATGTGTAGTAATTTCATGGAAATAATTCCTTAGATAGAAAAAGTCTGAATGGTACCGATGGCTTCTCATTTTTGTATGCTGATGTAGTATTTCATGGGAAGTTCATTGGATAAAATGTCCAAAATGAAGCTCTGTGATGGATTCATAAGGAGAAATCATAAGAGAAGATAGATGAAAAATCGTTCTTCTGATTACTGTGTGGTGTTCTCTATGAATACTTAAATCTAGTGAAGAATTAGATTTCATGTAATTCCACCGTATTGCAAGGGGTGGCTCAATTATTTTTGGGGCTTCAGGTGAAATTTCGAACGGATGCTTTTTTATTAAATATTAATTTATATAAAAATTGGTTCTTTTTTAGAATAATTACTAATTAAGTTTTTACAATGAAGTTTTTCTAGCATTTTTTTAATTGATAATATTTTTAATCCACTTACTAGTTAAGTTTTTATAATTAACTGTTGATCCTGTTAGAAGATGTTAGGCTTCTAGGATGCTTTACTATTTTGAGGGCCAAACCAAAAGGAAAATGAGAATCATGAAATTTGATAGAATTGTGGTAGAATGGTGTGGTTGGATTAATTTATCACCCACTTATGAAATTGTTGATTATTTATCTGTTCGATAAAATTATTATCTGTTTAGAAATAACTGCTTTGGGCTATCGATGGAAAATAGTCTTGATTGTTGTAGACACTGTATGTTGATTAGGGAAAACTGAAACTGATCACCTGGAATATGTCATTAAATATGACGGTTGGAATAATATATCGAACATGTGTATTGATTGATCATTGTATATGATAAGTGTTCAAATACATTGTATATGTATATTGTTTGGGAGGAGATAGAGGATGTACTCCATGGTTTGGGAGGAGATAGGGGATGTACTCTCAAACCAGTTTGGGAGGAGATAGGGGATGGACTCCATTGATAACTATGTTGGCCGGAGTGTCTAGGGTGAAAGTCCCGAAATCTTGATTACGTTTGCATAACGTAGATAATTGAAGTATGGAAGTGTTTTAATATGAGTTGTAGTCTCATGTGAATTGTGAAAAATGAAAGTGTCTTAATATGAGTTGTAGTCTCATTTAATTGTTTGGCTAGATATTGAGTCAGGTTTGTGAATGTAAATTGGATAAGTAAAGGAAAGTGGAATGAAACACAGATGTAATTGTCATGGAACTGGAATGTGTTGTAGGTTGATTTACAAGTGTTAATCATTTATCGAATGCTAATGTTTTAGTTATTGCTCATATTTGGTTTAGTATATCTCTATTGGGCTTTGGCTCACCCTATATGGGATATCATTTTCAGGTTCAGGTGATATGCCACCTCCAAGGACATAACTTGGGAGGCTTTAAGGCTGATAGATCTTTTTGTTGTTCTCTTTTGGTATTACATGTAAATTCAAGCCAAGGGCTTAAAGTGTATTTGATTTAGTACTCTCTTTTTGTAACCAGGTGTTGGCTTGGAAAGTTGCAAGCCCGTAGGGCATTTACTTTTGTTGTCAATATGTAATACTTTTGTAATGAATACTCTGATAAATGAAAATATGCTTTATTCTCGTATGTCTATGCATGTCAAGAATGTGGGTTTATATGTATTATTTTGAGGGCGTTACAAAAAAGTAGAGAAAAGGTGAGTTCTAGAGAAAGAAGCTCAAGATCTAGGGTTTTGAAATGTTTTAGAGAGAGAAAGAGATGAAAAAGTGATGTAGAAAAGAGCTGCTGCGAGCTGATATATGCACAGTCCGCTCAAGCACAAGAAGTGATGCTCTAGCGTCAGACACAATAAGTTGTTCCGCTCGAGCGCAAGAAGTGAAACTCGAGCATAGAATACACACTTCCAGTAGTTTTGCAGAGAACAGACCATCGCCCGAACCCAAGAATGGCCGCTCGAGTATAGGAAACACCGCTCGAGTGTAGAATACATCCTCTCAGTAGTTTTGCAGACCTGCAAAAGTTCTGAGGGTTCACAAAGCCCGTTTGAGCGCAAGAAGGGCCACTCAAGCGAAAGAGTAAAATCCTGGGCAACAAAAGTTTGAAAACGAAGCAACCAACCTGTTCCAAACATGCTCGATACAACCCAATAGCCAAACTCAAGTAAGAATAAGGGGATAAAGACATGAACAACATTTAGAAACCATAAAACCTAAGTCTAGAATATCAAATGGGTCTGGTCAAAAATCGGAATCGCTATAATCTCCCCCCCCCCTCTTAAAGAATTTCATCCCCAAAATTACAAATTTTGTTTCGAAAACCAAGTTTTAACCAATTTCCATAATGATTGTACATCAATTTCAATACCATGACTCATCCGTCGGTCATCCATTCTCATCAACTCGATACACAGGTCCCAACGTTGAAAGTACAATTCAAATTTTCCCAAAACATTTATAATGTTTACATTAAATCCATGTTTCCAAAACATACACAACATATACAATGTTTTCATATTTCATTGACATAACAAAATTTTATTACATGCTCAAACATCAATCAAATAGGTCTGGATATTTCTCACGGACTTCCAACCACATTCTCAAGTTGCTTCTTCAACCCCGTGATGTTTCCACAATACTTTAACTAAGGGAATTGTCTTGCCTCGCAAGACTTGGTCCTGAGTATCCAAGACTCTCACCGGTCTCTCATCATAAGAAGTATCCTCATCTACGTCTAAGTCGGTCCAATTTAACATGTGCGACGGATCCATATCATACTTCTAAAGCATACTAATATGGAATACATCATGAACTCGGGAAAGCTGTGGGGGCAAGGCCAAATGATAAACTACCTCTCCAATCCGCTCAAGAATCTCAAAAGGCCCAATGAAGAGAGGGGACAACTTCCCACTCTTTCCAAACCTCATCAAACCCCTCTTAGGTGATATCTTCAAAAAGACATGATCTCCTACCTCAAAAGACAAGGGTGTCTTGCTACGGTCAGTATAATTCTTCTAACGACTCTGAGCCGTAACCAACCTCTTACAGATAAGTGCAACTTTCTTCGTCGTCTCCTGGACTAACTCTGGACCCAATATAGATGCATCACCTACATCGGCTCAACACATAGGGGATCTACACGGTCGACCGTACAAGGCCTCAAATGATGCCATGCCAATACTCGACTAGAAACTATAGTTATAGGCAAACTCCACTAAGGGCATGTTCCTCTCCCATAAACCCTTAAAGTCAAGGACACAACCTCGAAGCATATCCTCTAAGATCTGGATGATGTGCTCTGACCACCCGTCAGAGTAAGGATGATACACAATGCTAAAGGTCAATCTCATGCCCAAGGCACTCTATAGGCTCTGCCACAGTCGAGCCGTGAAACTTGGATCTCCATCTGAAACAATCGTCTCTGGGACCTTGTATAACCTCACTATGTCCCTAATGTAAAGGTCGGCAAGATAATCTACCGAGTCACTTACGCACATGTGTATAAAGTGCGCTGACTTAGTCAATCGGTCTACTACTTCCCAAATTGCATCATTACCTCATTGAGTCCTTGGAAAGCCTACAACAAAATCCATCGTGACATGCTCCCACTTCCACTCGGGTATAGCAAGGGTTGTAACAAACTTGCTGGCCTCTGATGCTTGGCCTTCACTGGTTGACAAGTAAGGCACCTTGATACAAACACAGCTACATCCTTCTTTATACCCCTCCACCAAAACTTGCGACTGAGGTCGTGATACATTTTTGTGCCTCCCGGATGCACCGTAAGGCATGAATGGTAAAACTCTCGGAGTACTTCCTCTTGGCAAGGCTCTGGCATGAAAAGATGATCACGATATCTAATACTTGAATCGGGATACACATTTAAGCCTTTCTCTACCTTCCCATTGGAGATCTTCTCTCGGAGGGTTTCTACCTCAAGATTAGCCCGCTATGCTTCTATTACTCAGTTCACAAGTGTTGATTGTGCAACTACTGAAATCAAGGCTGCAGATTCAACGGACTCACCAAGATGCAAGTTGAACTCCCCAACAGTACCCAGCATCTACCATTCTCGAATGGCGATACAAGCCACACTACTAATAGACTTCCTACTCAAGGCATCGTCCACAACATTGGCCTTCATCGGATGGTGATGTAACTCAAAATCATAATCTTCTATGAACTCCATCCACCTCATCTGTCTCAAATTCAAGTCTTTCTGTGTAAATAGATATTTTTGATTCTTGTGATTAGAAAACACTTCAAACATTTCGCCATATAGATAATCCCTCCAAATCTTTGGAGCAAAGAGCATCGTCGCTAACTCTAGGTCATGAGTAGGGTAGTTCCTCTCATGTGTTTTCAACTACCGCGAGCTATAGGCTACTACCTTTCCCTCTTGTATCAGAACGCAACCCAAACCTTCTCGTGAGGCATCACAATATACCGACTAGCCCAAACCCCTATCCGGAATAATCAATACTGGAGTAGTGGTAAGTCTGACCTTAAGCTCTTCGAATGACTTCTCACAAGTCTCATCCCACACAAACTTAACTCCCTTCCCAGCCAATCCTAAGAAACTACGGATCTCGAAAACATTCTTAGGTGGCTTCCAATCTTGCATTGCCTCTATTTTGGATGAATCTACCTTCCCCGGATACCACATGGCCTAAGAACTTAACTTCTCTCAGCCAAATTCACATTTCCCAAACCTAGCATACAATTTGTGGACTCTAAGCGACTCAAGCACTAAAAGTGTTCCTCGTGCTCCTCCTCAGAGGATGAGTAAATCAAGATGTCATCCACAAAGACGACCACGGAACGGTCTAGGAACTCACGGAAAATCTGGTTCATCAAATCCATAAACACAGCTGGTGCATTGGTTAGCCGAAAGGGCATCACTAGAAACTCATAATGGCCATACCTTGTATGGAATGCTGTATTCGGGATATCCTCCTCCTCACTCTCAACTGGTGATAACCCGATCT